ACCTGCAAACTGCAGAACATTTGACCTGTCCCGCCATAGACCTAGCTGGCAGTTCATTACTTGCATTTTTCTGGACGCCAGGCACGCTACATTCATGAATCGCCTGGCCAAAGGGTGCCTGCCCATAATGTTCATGCCCTTCACGAGAGTTCCTCAACGAAGAACGTGCTCCTTCTGTGGCAGCATGGAGAACCTGGTTCCCACATCCTCTCAGTGTGCACTACCAGCCCCCCTTTATCGAAGGATAGCTAGCTTCTTTGGCCACCCTGGTGTTCCTTTCAACACCGTTCGTTTTCTGCATCCTCGGTCGGGACAAGCGGTTAAGCTGTACATGTTTTTGCTTGTTGAGTGCTCCTACCAAATGTGGGTGGCACGGTGTTGTGCCGTCTTATTGGGAAACGACCTGGCTTTCACGAAGTACTTGCAAAAGTAAGGAGGGAGGTCTGGTCTGTTCTTCACTTAGGTGCAAAGAAGTTTTATGAGATGTGGCACCGCCCAGCAGTGATTTTTGGTGAGTCAGAAGGGCAGATAACCAAAGCTTTCGAATGATGGCGGTCTCTAAGGTTCCACGACTAGGCCTAGTGGGCCAGTCATCCAGAGCTTAGTTTATGTAGTTGCTCGCTCGAGTTTTGCATGTACTATGGTGATTCTGTCGCCTTGTTGGTCTTCACCTCCTGGGTACGTGTTGGCCCCTCCTCCACGCCTGGCGAGTCTTCGCCATTGTGGAGGGTTGTTCCCTTCTTCGCGAAGGTCGAAGCCGGCTTTCAGCCGTGCTGGTTTTCTAGGGTACGTTTCCTTTGCGTGCAGTGACAACTGCCTCTGCACCAGACAGTAGTCCAGTAGTCCCCTCTGGACGGATTGTGTATGACTGCGATTTAGGGGTAAGTAGACGGGCCGTGATCGCAAAGCGCCTTGAGCCGAGTGGTAGTCCATCCATCCGGAGGGGACGTCGCAGGCTCCCAGCCACGCATTAATGTTGGGGCACGAGCACTTTGGGTGTAGTGGCTGAAGTTACCACACCGAAGGGCCGCCCTTTTACGTGTTTGGGTGCGTCGGCTTCGTGTGTGGTGCCGAATGTCGCCGCGTCTAAGGGTAGTCCCTCAGTCGAGGATTCATGAACGTCCGGTTTGCGCGTGGCGACTGAAGCCACAGTGCCAAAAGGTAACCTCGCTGTAGAGTCTCGCTGGGCCCTAGTGGTCAGGGGACTGGCTATGACCACAGCACGCCCTACGTGCTGCGATAGCCTACCTTGCCAGGGTACGTTCGCTTTGTGCGTTCCAACCGAAGTTGCTTCCGTGATGGATAGTCACTTTGATGGGTCTCCCTGGCTTGTACGCCGAGAGCACCGAGCAGTGGCCCCCTTGCCAGGGTATGGCCGTCTGCCCTAAGCAAAACGTCCCCCTCACATGACCATGAAAAAGAGTAAGTGCCGGGATCAACGTACCGATGATGATGGGATAATAGGGAGTTTTAGTGCTGGGCACCGAAGCGGCTTGCATACCCAGGACGTTGGGGCGGTGGTATCGGGCATGCGCGAAACCCCAAACAGATGCGTCGCAAGATCGCTGGGGCGATGGGGCCATGCGTCCGCGCGGCCGTAAACAACGCTGCCCTTTTTAGCGGAGATAAGCTGCCCCGTCCACACGCTGGCGCATCATGTTACCTTCACGGCGAACAAAGCCGAGGCTGGCCAGAGCCACCAATTTGGCTTCTAAGTTTCAAGTGCAAATATTATAGTGGCTAACCACTCTACAAGTAGCATGGCACAAACGCGCAAAATCTCGGACAGCATGGATCGGCCGCCTTGTAAGGTCCGCTTTCGCAAGAACTCACGGTATCCGCACTGCGGATACTCCAGCCATCGAGTCAAAATAAGCCAAAGTTCGAGCACTTATAGCGATTGCACGGTTTCAACCAGATTTACAAAGCTAGAAGGGCCTGGAACATAGAAACTAAAAAACATATGCCAGCCCCCCGACCTGCTCAATAGGTGGCACCATCTAGAGTGGCCATAGTTAAACAGACAACCACAACTTTGTTATTGCAGAAACATTGTGCATTGTACATCTGGTGCAAAAGTTTCGTAGCGACAGTATTACAAATGAGTCACCTTTTTATTCATTTTCAGCTCAAAAAACATTACGCGTAAGCTAACATATTCATGACTGTGGTTGCACAAACTGTCACAAGATGTCGGCACGGTCGTTTCAGTAGCTTTGTATTTTTTACATTTTTGCGTATACCAGATTACTCAGCACAATAAAAAAGGTGTCCTGATCACTATGTATGTTTAATTTAACATTTTAAATGATAAAAATACTTAAATAATTCTTACGCGACAAGACGCTATGGCGCTGCGAGCGCGTGTGAACTTCGTACGGCTTGCGTTTGCGTGCGTGCCACCGTGGCACCAACTAAAAGGCATTAGGGAGTTTTAGTGCTGGGTGCCCGAGCGGCTTGCGTACGCAGGACGTTGGGGCGGCGGTATTGCGCATGCGCGAAACCCCAAACAGATGCGTCGCAAGATCGCTGGGGCGATGGGGCCATGCGTACGCGCGGTCCACCTTCGCAAGAACTCACGGTATCCGCACTGCGGATACTCTAGCCGTCGAGTTAAAATAAGCCAAAGTGCGAGCACTTATAGCGAGTACATGGTTTCAGCCAGGTTTCCTAAGCTAGAATGGCCTGGAACATAGAAACTAAAAGACATACGCCAGCCCCCGACCAGCTGACTAAGGGGCGCCATCTAGCGCGGCCATAGTGAAACAGACAACCACAAATTTGTTATTGCAGAAACAATGTGCATTGTACATCTGGTGCAAAAACTGCGCAGCCGCAATATTACAAATGAGTAACCTTTTTATTCATTTTCACCTCAAAAACATTACGCGATACTTCTAGTACACTGTCATTACGCGTAAGCTAACATGTTCATGACTGCACCTTGACATGACAATAACCTTGTTCATGACAATAACCTTGTATTTTTTACTTTTCGCGTATACCAGATTACTGTACACAATAAAAAAGTGTCCTGATCACTATGTATGTTTAATTTAACATTCTAAATCATAAAAAGACCTAAATAATACTTACGCGACAAGACGCTATGGCTCGGCGGGCGCGTGTATACTTCGTGTGGCTTGCGTTTGCGTGCGTGCCACCGTGGCGTCAACTAAAAGGCATTCCGGTTGGGTATGGGTTGTGCACGCAACGCCGCGCGCTCCCAAGCCCGCAAGGCCCCAAGAGAATGCGTACCCAGCACTAAAACTCTCTATTACGGTTGGGGTATGGGTTGCGCACGCGACGCCGCGCGCTCCCAAGCCCGCAACCCCTCAACAGAATGCGTACCCAGCAATAAACTCCCTAATGAGTTACGTGAGTCTCTTGTACAAAGCGCTTCGCGCTGCGTGTTCTGCACATCTGACAAGGGCCCCAAAATTTTGGCGTCAAAGGTCCCTCTTTAAGAAAGACTATCGTCTTTAGAAATGTCACCCGCGCTCGGTGCCTATCTCGTCCCGATGCGCCGACGCGCGCTTATCTCTCACGCGTACTTTGCCCTGTGGAGTGGGGGGGGGGGGTCAGAATTTTAAGCGCGCGTTCATGAATTGGTGGAGAAAATTGTGTGCCTTCAACTTTCTCCGGAACGATTGCTTTATTATCGATTACGTTTCGTGCGTCGTTTTTGTTTCAACAGCGCAATACGTGTCGAGCGGTAAACGTTGTTACTTTGCTCTCATCATGTGTGTCTTGCCTTCGTGTGTTATTTTGTGCGTGAGAAGTGCACTGCACGTTTAGATCGGCTTGCCGTTCTCAGCGTTACATTCCAAAGTATTGCTATTGCATTCAAAATTGCAGGGACGTTTTTATATTAGAGAACTGCTTAAGCAAAAACAATGACAGCCAGTGGGGCGATCTGTTCAAAACGTGTATTGAGATTATTCAAGACCAGCGGCGAAATCCTCAGCAGTGCCTCGACTTTGTGGAATAAGCTACGCATTAGGAGAGAGTGTTTGTGAGTGACACGACACAGCCAATAAAATTGTCGAAATACGGCATACCTACACTAGAAATACAAGCTAAAAATGACCGCGTATCTGCGTGGTTCACTACAAATTTTGTGGAAACAAGGTTGATTTAGTATGAAAACTGAAAGCAGAAAATGTTTATTTATTGTTCTGTGGAGAATAATGGTACGTGAATTGAATCGCAGAGGCGCTACGCAAGGCATGAGTGCCATCTGACAGTAATCTGTTAAAACTAAAAAATCTCTGCATGGCCTGTGATATAGCGCGCACGCGGCAAGTGCTCCCAAACTCAATGGGCATAATCTGTGGAATGCTCAGCCACGGGTAGGTGGCAGCACCATAGTTGTAAGAAGCACGCGCTTGTTCGTGGATAGCGCCACATTATCAGCGCAGAGTAATAAACACTACGGCCTTTAGAATTACCCATGAATGCTTCTTGTATGTGGCGCGTGAGATGTGTGTCATATTTTAGTTTGATTGATAATCTAAACAAGTGTAAACGCAGACACCCAATCAAGATCGGTGGGCACTAAGGGAGTGGTTTCACTTTGGCCTAGTAGCAGAGTCAGTTCGGTTGACAGACAAACAGACAAAGAGAAAGTTTCCGTAATGTATCCGAAGCAATACTATTGCCTTTAATAGTACGCTAAGGGCCACAGCTGTAGTATGCTTTTTCGTAACTGCAGAATGAATCTGAACTACAACATCCAAAGATGGTGAACGAAAATGTTTCCTGTGTATTAGCAATGAGTGGTGAGCATTGAAATTCCTAACTGACCGCCGTATTTTTCTCTACCTCTCAATATTCAATACCTTACATAGCACTCATAAGCCACGAAGAACGTGATTCAATGCTCTGACTGAGAAAGAGACCACATGAATTCACCAACCTACCCACAGCTAAGCAAAAATGCAGTAGGAGCCCATGCCAAAATTGAAGTTGTAAAGTTCTTAAATTGGAGGCATACTTACGATCTATGTAACCCACATTCATCCATTGGCCTTCTGCGTCGTTGGCGACTCCCTGAAAAGATATAAAATTTACTCTTTAGCTGTCTCCTACTCTGGCAATGTGCCATAATCTTAGTTGTAAGCTACGATAATCATGTACAAATAGTGGTTACATACGCAATAAAAAATTGACAGAGTGCACGTAACATGGAAAGCAATAATATGTGAATCATAGCACCAAGCTTGTTGTGATGATGCTTTTGAAAACTTTCTTTCGCTCCAAAGAATACGCAGGGGTTGCACTTTTAAATGGTGAATACTTATGCTTAGCCTTTAAAGAGGCCTTATTATCTTGAATTCAACACCACAAAAGCTTTTATATTACGTTCATTCAAGTGGAGTTACGCAGATTTCTTACACGCTCCAATAGGCCGAACTCACCAGATGAGCTGCACACGCGCTGGTTTCCGGCAGTGGCGCTACCAACATCTTAGTTGAAGTACACAGCAAGAAGCAAAGGCGGCTTCTTTCTGCGTGCTTCAAGAATTTTCGCAAACGACGCGAATCGTCGGCGCATGTGCAGTGAAAACTGGTGAAAACCTAGATGCGGTGAAAACCTCAGTCTAGACCTCCATTGAATAAGGCTGCCTTTCAGGTTAGCTTGCATATCCTTCTTTCAAGAGAAAAAAAAGAAAGCAGTCGACAGTGCTTGCATGCGGCCAGGTCATTTCGGCGTGTTGATGTGCTTGGGTCACTCCACTCAATTCATTGTAGTTATTAAAAGTGAGAATTATATCTATATCATCGTGCAAGGAAAAATTATCTTTACAGCGAACGTCAGCATGCGAGCGACAAAAGTTACAACACAGTATGCGGAAAAGAACTTCCCCAAGCACCGCGATCTCAATACGGGGAAGACACAAACCAATGTGACGAAAAAAAAAGCTTTTTGCACGTCTTTTTTGTCCAAGCAACACTTTTCATATACACTGACTTGTCAACGCAGAACTCTGACCACAGTGAAGCGTAACGTGGATGATCGTGAAACTAGGTCGTGAAGCAAGCTATAAAAGCTCAGTATTGGACGATGATTGGCTAATGCCACTCGAAAAGTTGACCATCCCGAAATATTGTGAACAGCAAAATAATTCAATCTACCTTATGAATGCACGAGTAACAGAAAACTATGGCGACACATTGCGGTGGATGTTGTCCACTCAGCGCGTTCGACGGCTCGGTGCCAATGATGTTGCTACGCCCACCGTTTCGAAACATCAGCAAAGTATACGTAAACTGGTAGCGTTACTTCCACAGAAGCCCATGGAATCAGTAGTCGGCGGCTCGTTGCCACCACTGCCATCCACGTGAGTAGGGAACAACTAACAGCAAAAAAACTAATAATAATAAGACGTCATAACAAGAAGTGGTAGCGACGTGCTTATTTGCCCTACAGGGCGCGAAATGAAAATTCCTGCTAATTGCTGACCTGTTACGTGCATTTTTGTTACGAACATTTATTGCACTTTGTGGCTCGCTAATCACATGAGAGTGATAAAAACAAAGAATATGGAAGCAAATCGCATGAGAGTGATAAAAACAAAGAATATGGAAGCAAATTGTTTTATTATGCAGATGAAGCACTATCCATATGCACATGAACTTCGCAGAGGCAATGGTGAGACAACTGTTCACGAGCATAATAGCATAGTAGCTCGAAAGCTCACATTGCCCAATCGTTGAAAACCACTGCAATGAAACAGCAGCTTTCAAATGGCAGCAGTAGAGTACAGTGTCTAGTCGCTTAGCCTGTCGCGTTCACAGACACGAAAGGCGAGGGCACGCCAGCCGTGCACCAGCGCAAGCACTCGGCAGTCAAACGAGTGGCTATCTTTACATTCTGCAGGCTAGTTGAGCTCTTAAATGTCACGTCAGGAAACAGCACACAAAAAATAAGCGAACTACTGATGGTGCCCAAAAACCACTGCGAATAAGTGAGAGATCCCTCGTTGACCTATTAGTGCGCAGAACGAACACGCCGAACTAAACACACTGATACCACCTTGCCTGGCTAGGTCCCCTAAACCGTTGGTTTATGTTTCCAAACTGCCTTCATGTGCCCGCTGTTTCTCGAACCAAACGACAAAATTGGGTGCTCAGCCGCATACCAAAGACTAAAGTTTTGAATAATCTACTATTTTTTGTAACTTTAATGAAGAAGTGGTGCGTCATGCAAAGCTCGGCAAGCACATCATCAGCTCTGACGTTGTGGCTGCTTTGGCTGGCTAGGCCTACGCTCCTATCTGGTCGCAAATAACAGTTCTGGCTGTCTCAGTTCTTTATTATATTTGGTGTGGTTTCTGGCGCTCCTCATAATCCTGATGTAGCGAAGCCGGACTTGACCTGCCGCCATGTCCACTGCATCTGTGACAGACCCTTCATCTATGGCTCTCCAGGCCATCGTGTGCTCCGGCGCCGTCCATCAGTGGGACCCTCTCATATTCAGTGGCACTGACGATTATGACGTCGACGAGTGGCTGACTACCTAAGAACTCGTCATGGTCTTGAACAAATGGGACAAAGCCACGAGACTCGCCACCATCGCCATTTACCTCAGTGGCATTGGCCACTTGTGGCTTCGGAACCATAAACCGACGTTCCAGCCTGAACAGCATTCAAAGGAAAGTTGAGCGAAGTCTTCGGTCGTCCTTCTGTCCGCAAACTTTGTGCGGAGCAGCGCCTTCAGTCAAGATCTCAACTGCCTGGTGAGAATTTCATCAGTTACGTAGAGGACGTCATTGACTTGTGCAAACGCGTGTTGTGCACACCCCAACAGAGGTCTGAGCTTTTGAGCCTCCTTGACAAGTTTCAGTAATCTTTTGACAGCCTTCTTTTGAATTTAGGTCGAACGTCCACTGTATGCCACCAGATCGACACCGGTAATTGCCAAGCACTACGGCAGCAACCCTACCGTGTTTCGCCGACTCAACGCCGTCCTATCGATGAACAAGCAGGTGACTGCTGAAGTGCGGCATGGTTCAACTATCAAACAGTCCTTGGGCATCGCCGGCTGTTTTAGTTGAAAAGAAGAATGGCACAAAACGCCTTTGCGTAGATAATTGTCGTCTAAACAAAATAACACTAAAGGATGTTTATAATTGCATCGGAACAATGACGCACTCTACTCTTTGTGAGGTACAGGCTTCTTTTTCTTCCTTGATCTACGCTCTGGATATTGGCAAGTGAGCATGAATGCCAAAAACTGTTTCTGTTACACCAGATTGCTTATTTGAATTCAACGAAACGCCTTTTGGCCTATGCAATCCGCCGACAACATTTGAGCGCATGATGGACTCTGTTCTAAGAGGCCTCAAATGGAACACGTGCTTTTATTTGCTACTTAGATAATGTGGTGGCCTTTTCGCCCGATTGTCTCACCCACCTTCGTCGCTTGTAGCAGGTCCTACGCTGCCTCTCCGCAGCAGGCCTCCAACTATACTTAAAGTGTCACTTTGGAGCACGCAAGCTGACCATTCTCGCACACATCGAGCCGACGGATGATGTTCTCTGTGACCCCGCTAAGCTTAGTCCTGTTCCCGAGTTCTCGAGATCGACGTCTCTCAAGCAGCTGCGTAGTTTCATTGGGCTTCGCTCATAGTTCCACCATTCGTCCGGGATTTCACCTCGATCATGGCACCTCTGACAGACCTACTTCAGGGAGACCGCAATCCATCCGCGTTCTCCAGCCTGCGGCAGTGCATTTGCGAAGCTCCGTGAACTGCTCACAACACCACCCATACTGCGGGATTTTTATTCAAGCGCTCCCACGAAAATCCACATATATGCTATTGGTGTTGTTCTCTGCGCTGTACTCGCCCAACAAATGCCTGGCTGCCAAGAATTTGTTGTTGCGCACGCGAGCCGCACGCTTACAAGAACAGAAGCATATTAATCTGTAATTTTGAAAGAATGCCCAGTGATCATCTGGGCCATTACCACACTTTGGCCTTATCTATACGGCTGGCCTTTCGATGTTGTTACCTATCACCACGCGCTCTGCTTCCTCGAGCATCCCTCCAGACGCTTGGCGCAATGGGCTTTACGGCTCCAAGAGTACAACACCCGTGTCATTTATTGCTCATTCCAAAAGCGTGCTGATGCCAATGCTTCAGTTTGCTTGTTTCTACTGATATTGGGAGTGTCTCCTCTGTTCAAGACCAATTACTTCCACTATCAGAACCCATGAACATGGCTTTGAAGCAGCGAAAAGATTAGTGGAATGCGTCTCTGAAACCCTCGCCGGCCCGCCATCTCGAGCGATACACTGACAAGCCTCTAACTTCGCCATTCGTGATAGAATCCTTTATCGCCGCAACTACCAACCTGACGGCCAAAAATGGCTACTCGTCATACACAGGCATCACCGTGCCAACATATGTGCTGCTTTTTATGCCGATCCACATCAGTGTGCCCACGCCAGTTTGTTTAAAACCTTTAGAAGGCTACGTTTTTGGTTTTATTGGCACGGTATGCACACATTCGTTAAAAAGTACATTCGATCTTAATCAGAGTGCCAACACCGCAAGTACAATCCTAACCGCTCTACTGCACCAATGCAGCTGTCACCGGGCTCAGTGCGACCATTCAACCAGGTTGGAATAGACCTTTATGGTTCTCTGCCATACATATCAGCTGAGAATCGCTGCATTATTGCAGCAATTGACAATCTCACGAGATATACAAAAACGGCCGCTCTACCAGCCACGATGGCGTGTGACGTTATGTCTATCCTGCTGCAACGTTTTGTTCGGCGTCGCGGCGCTCCTTGTGAACGTTTGAATGACCGAAACCGCGTTTTTCTCGTGGATGTCATTCAAGAACTTTTCGCTGAATACCATTTGATTCACCGCTGAACTACAGCATATCGCCCACAAACAAACGGCTTCACCGAAAGTTTCTACCACGCTCTTGGCGGCATGCTTTTTATGTATCTCGCCTCCAACCACACCGACTAGGGTTTTGTTCCCCTACAGAACGTACGCTTACAACATGACGCCTCAAGCAACGACAGCCTTT